CCAAGGGTTGTTGTGGCCAAGTATGAAGACAATACACCAAGAAATAAAAAAGTTATGATCCAGGTACAAGTTTTCGGACGGCAACGGCAACGGCAACGGCAACGCCGACCTGACTATAGCAATACCTCTACTTTTTTTTTCAAAAAAAAAAAAGTCGAGCTAAAAATGTGACCGCTAGAGTGTTAACAAGGTTTTTCTATTTATAGCTCCGGTGACCTAGTTTTTCATCCGAGATGACCCATATTTGAACTCATCCGAGCAATTGACTAGACAAGCATTCTGAGCAAGTTTGAAGATGATTGGTTCAAAATGTTACCACTAGAGTGTTCACAAGGTTTTTCTATTTATAGCTCCTGTGACCTACTTTTTCATCCGAGATGACCCATGTTGGAACTCATCCGAGGTATCACCTAGACAAACATCCTGACCAAGTTTGATGATGATTGGGTCAAAAATGTGACCTCTAGAGTGTTCACAAGGGTTTTCTATTTTTAGCTCTTGTGACCTAGTTTTTCATCCGAGATGAGCCATGTTCGAACTCATCCGAGCTATCACCTAGACAAACATCCTGACCAAGTTTGATGATTCAGGCAAAAATGCGACCGCTAGAGTGTTCACAAGCAATTGAGGACGTACGACAGACGACGGACATTCACCGATCCTTAAAGCTCACCCTGAGCAAGCTCAGGTGAGCTAAAAAGTTATGATCCAGGTACAAGTTTTCGGACGGCAACGCCGCCGCGACTATAATACCTCTCCTTTTTAAAAAAAAAAATAGTCGAGCTAAAAATGTGTATCTTTCTGTCCCAGAGTAGTCTTGGGGTATCTTGGGATACATAGACGGACCCCTTCTACACAGTACACACTACCTTTTAGTTGCTTTGACAAATGCGTAATCGTATAATTTACACTTTTTTCTGCAAAGGATCATATATCAAATATCTAAACGTAGATATTATTGAATATCATGAAAACTTTATCAATTTTTTTGGAGTTTGATTATCGGAAGTTTTTTTCCCTCAGAAAATCACAGATTTTAATAATTTAAATCGGTGCAAAAATACAAAGAGAAACTGAAACATTATTAAATTATGTCTATGAACAGTAAAGATGTAATACATTTTGTAATAACTTTTTTTATCTTGATAACTTTTAGCGGGAATTGAAAATTTCTTTTATTGATGCAGTGCATCTATTTTTCACGATTGCATAAGGACGCTTTCGGGTCGATCACAGACTTTAATGGTCAATTTCCAGCGGTAGTTAGATTATAACAAAATAGTTTTAATAAAATGTAATTTTAATAATATTGTAAAAAACTCAAATTTACATCGGCTTACGAGAACTACTTAGGCCTAATTATAGGTAATTTATTTCTGGTAGATCTATCCTGTATCTTGTCGTAATGTAAATGACCAAATATCATCCGTAAAATTATTTAGAAAAATATATAATTATCATTCTTTGTGAAAAAGTAATATAAGGCATGCAAGTTACTGACTTCATCATTGCATTTATTTGTTTTTAACAAAAATGCTATACAGCTAGCCACTTTCTTAATATATCGGGGCTCACAGTTTACCATAGTACTAATACTTCTACACAGTACTCACTACCTTTTAGTTGCTTTGACACATGCGTAATCGTATAATTTACACTTTTTTTGCAAAGGAAGGAAATAGAATATCTAAACACATTTTGCATGAAAATAATGCAGTGCTGATAATCGATAAACTAGGTCAGAAATATATACAATCTTATTAATAAGAGCTTCTAGGCAGAGGAATCGTTATTTTGAAAATAATTTCAGTCACCACAACAGATATTTCAGGATATATTTACACATAAAAGTTGATTTCCTTATGTTTTTACTAGCATTCTTGCTCTATATTAAAAACATAACTCCGATTTTATATATAATATTTTTGTATTTCTACTTTTTTGCTTACGACTTTTATTCATAAAACCCGTAATTGGCTGCTTCGGATGGGACAAAATAGGACAATTATTTATTCGTATAATATGATATTCCTTTGTTTATTTCATCAGTCAGATAACTAATGTTCTTGAACATAAACGCTTTCAACACATCCAGACATTATATGACTAAATCTTGTAATATTTGTTAAGATGTTATTTGTTTCGATAGTAGCCGTCGATATTCCATGTGTAGATGACATAACTCTGAACACGCCTGAGGGCGTGTCCGTCGCAAAAACAAATATATTTATCAATCATATTTATTAACAAAGTCATTACAAAACATTTCAATATTCTCTTCAACAGCTGATTGTTACATCCTACTGTATGTTTCTTCCTTTTTTCTAGTTCTAGTAGACAAGCAAATCAAGTAGACTTTGAATCAATTCCTCTTGATAAATTTCAGCCCTACCGTCAATCTCCTATTATGACAAGACAAGGTGAAGGTCACGACCCTTGAACATGGAACTCTGGGATATCAAACAGTAGTGACCTCTGCGAAGGCGGTTTCTTGTCTGCTCTAATTTCAAGGTTAAGGTCATTCACTATAAATATGTCTGAGAATCTTATCACATCTCAAATGTATGATACCTATAAATTTACTAAATGATACTAGAACTATCACTAAATGTGATTAATACCCCCGCAAGACTGCTTCGGAAATGAGGAAGTTACAGTTAACAGAATACCTTGTTAAAGAATTGAAATAGAGTTATGGTTGTGGGCAATTAAAGATAGTTGTGGTTTTTGTATGTTGCATTTCCTTACAATATGGTTGACCATTGATGAAGTTTTATTGAATTACTCTGTAATAAATCCAGAAAGAGTTACGCTTCTTGAGCACTGCACTTCCTCTCATTGCGCTTGACCATTGTATGAAGTTGCATTGAATTCTAAACATTAGTTTTAAGTTATGCACCGGACAAGGAAAAGGAACAAAGGGCAATAACTCTACAAATACTGAAGATGGAGTTATGGTTATTGTACACTGCACTTCCTCTCATTTCGCTTGACCATTGTATGAAGTTGTATTGAATTCCAACTACTAGTTTTCAAGTTATGCACTGGACAAAAAAGTAACAAAGGGCAATAACTGTAATGAGTCAAAATAGAGTTATGCTTCTTCTGCACTGCACTTCATCTCACTGCCCTTGAAGTTTCATTGAATTCCAAACATTAATTTTCAAGTTATGCACTGGACATTAAAAAGTAACAAAGGGCAAAAACTCTTAAATGAGTCAAGAAAGAGTTATGGTTTCTGTGCACTGCGCTTTCTCTCAATATACTTGACCATTGTATGAAATTGTATTGAATTCCAAATAGTACTTTCCAAGTTATGCTCTGGACAAGAAAAAAGCAATAGAAAAGTTACAAAGGGCAGTAATTCTGTAATTATTTTAGATAGAGTTATGGTTCTTATGTTCTGCACTTCCTCTCAATGTGTTTGACCATTGTATGAAATTATATTGAATTCCAACCATTAGTCTTCAAGTTATGGTCCGGACAAAAGAAAGCAATGGAAAAGTAACAAAGGGCAAGAACTCTGAAATTACTTTAGATAGAGTTATGATTCTTGTGCACTGCACTTCCCCTTATTGTGCTTGACCATTGTATGAATTTGTTTTGAATTCCAACTAGTAGTTTTCAAGTTATGCTTCGGACAAGGAAAAATAACAAAGGGCAATAACTCTGTAAATAGTGAAGATAGAGTTATGGTTCTTGTGCACTGCACTTCCTCTCAATGTGCTTGACCATTGTATGAAGTTGTATTGAATTCCAACCATTAGTCTTCAAGTTATGCTCCGGACAAGGAAAATGCAACGGACGTCTCGACCGACAGACCACCGGATGACTCCTATATACCCCCATAAACCTCGTTTTTGGGGGTATAAAAATACACCAAAACATTGTTTGTCCAACATTCCTGTAACTAGAACACTGATTATCCAAAAGTAACTTAATAATCTATATAGAAATACATCTCTGAAAGTGCATTTCTGAAAACATGAACTTATTTTCCTAAATGACAACTGCTGCTATTTTCTTTATTATCTTTAAAATACTTTTTATCTAGTTTTTGAAAAAAGTGTGTGTACATATAAACAAGATTGCATTTGTGAAAAATGCTATGCCAACTAATTGCACTTTGGATATTATAGATCTGTATAATTTGGATATTATCATTAATATTGATAGTATTTCAAGTTCCTGTGGAAAAAAATAATATTCTAATCTCTAGCATGCCTACCAAAGTTCATGATGAACAATGTCTTTCGTCAACCCATTCATAAATATTATACAATACTGGTAAAAACCAATTAACCATTGAAAAGTTTATAAGAATATCTGTTCATCAGTTGTCTAGTAGTTCATCTTCACTTGCTGCATTTCTTGCATGAATGCCCTTTGATGCTTTGCATCAATGCTTTTCTTGTGCTCAAATTGTTTCATCAAATATCCCTGCAAACTAGAGTTCATGACCTCTAGCCATTTCATAAATATCTCTGAACTCTTGCTAGAGGTCATGATCATTAGACTTGCTCCCTGCTATTGAATCTATTAATGGAAAAATTGCAAAATATACAAAATATATAAAAGATATTCCTATATAAGTTGTTTCCCTCCAGACCAGAGCTGCATTACTGGTACTGCAGCGATTTTGCAAGTACTGGTACTGATACTGAATTACTCTCACAAAATTTTGCTACTACTGGTACTGGTACTGCATTACTATCTTAAAAAGTGGTACTGCTACTGCATTACTAAGCAGTACTTTTGGTTTTGATAAAAAAAAGCTTCAATTTTTCTCATAAAATAAAGCTGTCAATTACATTATTTTATTTTTGTGAAAAAGTAAGTTATCAAATCTATAGATAATTTTCTGCAATATTCCTTCAAACGTTAACATAGTATTCATCATAAAAAAGCACCAAAGACTTTAAGTAAAAATTAAATTGAGATAAACAGACTGAATAACTCTTTACCGAAAAATATCCTTATTAAAATCTTTTATTACTTTGTATTTACTAGTAAAAGAGCAAAATAATAACTAGTTAATTGCTTCTATTCTAAATAATCCTATTTCAAGTGATATTGTTAGCACCCTAAAAAGTTGTTATTTACTTTGGTATAAATTGAACAGAGGTGTGAAAGGCAACAAAAGACTGTTGTGTTTTAAATGAAAGATGATTGCATTGTATTACAGTTGACTGGTTACTTAACAAGTCAGATATGACATGAATATATGTTGTAAATATTGTTTGTAAAAAGTATGTTAAAACAATAAAGTTGTAAAAATGTTATGTTAACTTTAAAGTAAATTATGATTTTATTTCTTTACTGAATAATATTTGCAATTATTGTTTGAAACTGTGTATTTTTTCAAACTTTGATGAATATATAAAAGTAATGGTACTGATACTTAATTACTTCCCAAAAAAAAGTACTGGTACTGCAGTACCAAGCTAAAATCTAGTACTGGTACTGGTAATGATACTGCATAATTTGCAAAGTACTGGTACTGGTACTTAAGTACTACACCCTTAGTACTGATGCAGCTCTGCTCCAGACAAAACATTCTTTAAGTTTTTACTATATGTACATACAATGTAATGAAAATCAAAGACCCCAGGTCACAGGCCAATTTTGACCCCAGGGCTATAATTTGAACAATCTTAGTATAGGTCCACTACACAATATTTCATGCCAAATATCTAACCTCTGGCCTTTGTCTATTTAGAAGAAGATTTTTTAAGGTCTTACTATATACATATAAACCTCTAACCTGTGTCAATTCAGAAGAAGATTTTTAAGGTTTTACAATACATTGTATACATATAAAGTAAAACTAGGACCCTGGGGACAGGCCAATTTTGACACCAGGTGCAAAATTTGAACAACTTTGGTAGCGTAACAGTTACAATAGATGATATTATTTGCCAAATATCAAAGCTCTAAGCCTTGTACCTTCAGACAAATTTTTACTATATGTACATAGTGACAAGAGCCATGTTAACATGGCCATCACCAGCCAAATGCGAATTTGCTCATTGGAAGAATGTATATGTAGTAGAGCAGAATAATTCAATTTTAAGAGGTATTTTGGTATTGAATACTGATGGCTGAAGTGATTACAGATTTGAAACCTATGTGAATACTGATGGCTGAAAATAACAAAGGGCAATAACTGAACAAGATTGCATTTGTGAAAAATGCTATGCCACCGCATTAATACAACACTAAATAGTAGTGTAGGAACAGATTTTTTTTTCTATATTGAAGACTGTCATAATGCATAGATCCCTGACCTATCTAATTCTTATTATCAGATTAGTGGTTAAATCTATTGTTATTCAAATAAAAGATCAGAGTAGGAATATATCAATGAACTTGAGTCTAGTGAATTTGGTGGTGAAGGCCATATTTCACACAGCCTAAATTTCATGACTACAACACAGTAAGACACTTTGTCAAAATCTAGGTCAGCTGATATTAAAGTTCACTTTACATCTTAATCTGTGAACATGGTTCAAATTTCATAGCTGTACATCAAAGGACAAGAAAGTAGGTCACATCATCAAAATCTAGGTCACCTGATATCAAAGTTCAATTTTACAACTATAATTGTGCACATGGTCAAAATTTCAATGCTGTACATCAAAGGACAAGAAAGTAGGTCACTGTCCACTTGGGCAAGGCAAAATTTTGACCCAAGGGTTTAAATCAAAACAATCTTGATACAGGTCCACCAAACAACATTTCAAGCCAAATATCTAAGCTGTAGCTTTCTCCCATTCAGAAAACATTTGTTTTATTTTCTGTTTTTACTATGTGTACATAATGAGAATCACTGCCTCCGGGCAGGGCCAATTTTGACACCAGGGGAAAATTTTGAACTTTGGTAGAGGACCTATAGATGATATTATATAGCAAACATCAAAGCTTTATGCCTTGTACCTTCAGACAAAAATATTTTTATTTTTTTACTATAATTATGTACATAATGAAAATCAATGACCCCCGGGCGGCACCAATTTTGACCCCAGGGCTATAATTTGAACAATCTTAGTAGAGGTTCACTTTGCAAAGTCTCATGCCATATATTTAACCTCTAACCTTTGTCAATTCAAAGAAGAAGATTTTTCAACTTTTTGCTTTATACATATAAGGAAAACTATCGCCTCTGGGGCAGGGCAATTTTAACACTAGGGGCATAATTAACATAACTTTAGTAGAGGACCCATAGATGATATTATATACCAAATATCAAAGCTCTAAGCCTTGTACCTTCAGACACGAAGGTTTTTTAATATTTTACTATGTGTACATAGTGAAAATCAATGAACCCTGGGGGTGGGGCCAATATGGGCTATAATTTGTACAGTCTTGCTAGAGGTTCACTACACAATGTTTCATGCAAAATTTCTTAACTCTAGCCTTTGTAAATTGAGGGAAGATGATTTTTTAAGTTTTTACTATATACATATAAGGAAAACCTATGGCCCATGGGGCGGGGCTAAA